TACTGCATTATGTCATGTTATCTTGGTGATGACTGTTAAATAACTACAGATAACAAATGTTATGGAAAATATTTGTTTATGTTATGTATTTCTGAAGAAGAAAAAAAGGCTGATATATCAGACATATCAGATTTTTAAATCCTCAAATATTGAAATCGGTATGGGTCTTAAAAATCCTACAACAGTCGGGCTCTAGTTTCTAATTTAGATTCCAATACAGATACCTTGATTTTGTTACTGATGCCTGTGATATTTTTTTAAATTAGCAACAGAAAGTGGGTGCGGCTTAAACCAGAAATTAGTGTGATGTGCTGGAAGTGGGCATAGTTATTGACCCCATAGAACTGCACTAACCAAGAAATGATAACATACACACAGTTAACCACAATTATTTAAGTGCCAGTTAATCATCAGCTAAAATTTCATGACTGACTTGTCTTTCCTATTAGAATGTAAAGCTCCTCCATTGCCGCTCGTGCTGTCTGTTAGCTGTTAACATTAATGCCACATAGGAAACTGTGTCACTACCACACAATCTCTAGGAGAAACACAGATACACATACTAAACCAGGGTATGGATAGCTCTGTGCTGCACCGCGCCGTTACAAACCGCACTGTCTGGTGGAAACGAGCTTCTTACATACTGTAGGCTCTAAACTTACTCCCTTGGCTCTTAAAGTGGTTATGTCACTTCATGGAGGCTGAGGGAGATAGGGGCTCACTCACTCTCTTCCTCTGTGAGTAGTAGTGCAGTAGCACTGAGCTGCAGCGAAGGGCTGGGGGTCTCCAGAGGTCCACAGCTGCCCACACACCACCAAAGTGAACTGTGTCAGACATCAATACGTTATGGTAATGCATTTTACACATTAAGGGAGTAACAATGCATCGTGACATTGTGATAATCTGATGCAAAACTGTCAATACATGTAGTGGAGAATGGGCATCCCATTAATTTCACCTCAAATGCAACTGCAATGTTTGAACTCTGCAGTTCATAAACAAGAAGCACCATTAAACAACTACAACACACTACAGCATCTTCATTATTAAGCTGTGCAACAACATGGATACAGTCAGCAATTTTCTTCATTTGAATTTTGTTCAAATATTATGAGAATACCAAATCGTGAACTCAGTATTGAGAATCAAATCGAAATGTGGGCCAAGTGTACCATTTCTCCTCTACTACACATCCTCAGCATTAATCAAACTGCAGCTCAAAACTAACGGACTTAACTTTTGGTTACATTGTACGTTCTTGTGCATGTACAGTGACAACGTGCACTGTCTATAACAATGATTCAATAATGATTCTTTAGGAATTCTTAATTAATACATCATGATGTCTCAAATTTCACCACAATTGAATTATTTTGGTATGCTTTGCAATATTTTTTTTTCAAATACTAAATATACAAATGTGACAGAAAAATACTGCTTATATTTACACAGTAGTGAAATATAAACAATAAAAACAACACATTAAAAAAAAGACAATGAATTTCATGTTAGCCAGTCAGCAGATCCTTTTTCGGGTATTATTAACATTCACGGTGCAGTAGAATTGGCACCATCAGATGCATTTTTACATGCCTAACTTCACATGAAGTAAACTACATTTTTATGCAGCGTTTCTTTTCGTACTCTCCGCAAGCTGTAAGAAGCCACATTCCTTCAATTTTTCTACAACACCTCAGCCAGTTCAGAACACATGTTCATGAATAAAGAAATACTGTCTCGCTATTCAGACTGATTTAGGCTGCTTTCACACCTAGTTTGTTCACTAAAGTCTGTGCCACAGTTTGGGTTTTATGACATTGTGAGTCTTTTTCATTTGATTCAGTTGGTTGCAATGGCTAAAGTGCACCAAATTATACACATGGGCAGGAATCCGGCGGGGATACAGGCATGCTGTTACTTTCACAGTTACCTCCATTAGTGCCATAAAAGAACCAATTTTTATTTTAGGTCACTGACTCCTGGCCCAACCTATCAAAATAAATAAATAATTAAAAGTCAAATGCTTCACTACTGCTTATCTGCCATTATTAGCAGCAGCTCATGCTGCAAGAATATCATCTGTAAAGAGTCAAATGTAAAAACAGGCAGATTACAGGGGCAGTAAAGTGCTGATGTGCTCCTACAAGAAGGGAAAACCACGCTGCATTCCCTTGTTTTTGGCGTGGACCACTGTAAGAATGTTCCTACCAGCAGCGAACTGAACTTGAGTCCACTTGGACATGGACAGAGACTTATGTTTTTGGAGGACAACGTAGAGGCGGATGTTGTGCCAAACATATAATATCATAATACTTTGGGATATTTTCTCAACACACGGTATGCATCACAATATTTGCTGTTTCTGAGGACCAGAAGTGTCAAAGGCCATCAAAAACTAAAAGGTTTAACATACTGCAGTAATGAACAGAAGTATTTACACACTTTTACTATAAAACATGCAGATGGTCAGTGTTCTTTAGGTTCTGATGTTATCCACAATATACTCAGTACTCAGAAAAGTATATTGACAATGTGATGTTGTTATTTTTCACAATGATATTTATATCGTCCACCACTAGAACAGTGGCTCGGTTGTTGGTGCTCACGCAAGTACAAGCGAAGTGTTCACAGCAAACAAGACAGACGTGAAGGCACCCTCAGAAACAGTGCACAAGACCTTTTCTCCAGCATTATGAACAAATCCCACATCCGCCTATAAATGGTGTAAATTTTAGAGTAACCAATGATTTATAGATAGAAAGACTACAGGAACCCCACTTTCTAGGAACATAATGCAATAAATAAGAAATAAATCTGCAAACTTCAGCAGGGTTACAGATCTAATGATGTAAGGGAAGAAAATATTTGGCAAACAGGAAACTGACTGCACCAGCTTCTGCAGTGAAACAGTATGGCCTGCCATCACAAGCAGGAAATGTCTAATAAATCAGGCTGCCATAAAGGAAGTGATGTCTTTCTTCCAGTACGCAGGTCACCTGTAACTCAGTTTAATGGCCTTCTTCTATTGTCCAAGCGCGAGCATTTTCTTTGCTCCAGAAATTCTTAAAAACATTTTGCAAGCAAAACTCTGGACATTAAAAAGATACAGGGCTGCAATTATGCATCTGTGCCCTAGAATTTCAACCATCTTCATCTGTAAGCTCGTGATTAAAGAGTCAATTAAAAGTACGCTGCAGTTGCAGCAGAGAGAGGAATGTCTACCCATGGGGACCATCCTCGGGACGCCGAGGCAGGACTGCAGCACCTAAGCAGCATCCTCCCTCTATACAGCCTCTCAAAAACCTCTGATGGATGACCATGGGCTGCTACTGAAGGGTGGCCTCACTTCCACCGAAAGGCAATTTCAAGACTGTATAAGCATAATCCTTTACACTGTGCTTCGCTCCCCACTGGAACCTTTACAACAGACATTCAGAGTGGAACTGGATCGTTTCATCAGGGGCAGACAGCACTTTATTTGTTTCAGTAAGACCGTTTAATTAATACTAAACAGCATAAGGCAGATACACCAGTGGGAATAGGACTGTTATTAGCCACTGAGAGCCAGTGATGGGTGTTTGCCCAAGAGCTTGAAGTCAAAGACAAGCTTGCGCCATCGTTTGGCTTTTTAATTTACCAGAGCAGGCACAGAGCACTCTCTGTGCGCGCCAGCCGCTGGAATATGCTAACAGTGAAAAGGTGGGGGGAGCCTCGGCGGCATGTGTGAGCGGGGGCTTGTTTAGTTTGGCTCAACGTCCGGGCAGGCAGCCGGACTGCCTGCAGTAGAAGGACCCTGGGCCTCCAAGCCTCATCTAAGAGGTGCATTGTGCCTTGCCAATTCTAAATGTCACCCACTGATTAACAGACACTACCACACAGGGCTTAGAGAAACATTACATCCAAGGCTGTCATGTCTGCAGCTGAATAAGGGGGAAAAAAAGGGACCCAGCCGATATGAAAACTGAGACCAACACTGATTTTAAGGATTTAAAATAACAACAAAAGCCATGAACAGTTTGGAATCACTATTCCAATGCTTATAATGAAAGTAATTCTATTACATAAAATAGATTTTGTTGTAGGCATGTGTACAAAAGGATTCTAATGAGCAAGTGCTGTCCAACTTCACATGTAGGACCCTAAGAAAGCTGAATTATATCAAGAATGAAACCATAATTAATAATTTAATTTCCACAATGCCTATTATTTAAAGTGGTGACCAAATATTGATGCCAATAAATCAGAATTTCCAGTATATTATTATATATAAGCTAACACGCTAGTTACCATACAGTGGTACAGTACAACACGTATGTATTGTAGTGTATTGTACATATAGTACAGTATTGTACTATATGTGTTTATCTATACACACACACACACACACACACACCTTTTGTTATCTAGTTTATAATGTTTAAATCTACATCATAAGTCATTATTGTATAAAAAAAAGACCATTGATATGAATAGCAATTACAAACACTGGAGTAATACTAGCCCATATGTTTTAACATGGTCAAAAGTTTAACAGACTTGTAGTTGCAAACTATGCATGGCCAAAACGATTCTTTTTAATTTTTTTAACTATTTCATAAACTCAAATAAACATGCAAAAACTGAAAGTATACAGTATAAACAGTGTAACATGACAGGAAGAGTTTCCTAAAATTCCTAGCAGTTTTGTGGGCTTCTATTAATTAGCGCACATCAGAAAGAGGTGTCTGTGTATTACAATCTAAAACAAGCCACACAGTATCAATGCTTCATCGGTGGGATTTTCATCAATACCGATAAAGCCGTGGAACCTCAACATGAGACAATATTACCAGCCAAGTCAATCCCTACAAAAAACACGAGGCTTGTTCCAGCCTCCTGGAGCCAAGATGCCAGCTTCTATTCAGTTTACATATCGCATCTTAGACGATTAGTGTACTTCAACGTGTTCGGATCTGGCAAATCCAAAGCCAACCACTGTATGTACTCGTGCATTTACATACCTCTTTGCCTGAGAGATAATAGGCGGACAGCAGTCCTCCGACGAAGCGGATGTTCACTTCAAAGACTGAGATTTCTGCATTCTGAGAGGAATAAAAGCAGGAAGAGAGGGAGAGAAAGAGAAAGACAAAAGCAAAGGTGATTATCTAAGCTTATATAGAAATGCTGCCACTGAGTCACTACAAACTGCAGCTGGCACAAGATATGAGCATGTGTGCATGTGTTTGTGTGTGGGGTTCAAACGTAGTGTTTTCAAGTACATAAAGCAACAAGAGCAGAGAGCAGATGGAGCTCTTCAGGGAAAGACCATATACACAAAGAAGCTCCCGGCACAAAGCCATACTCCGGTTAGGATATTTCCTGAGACCCTGTGAAATCATCATCACTGGTTAAAGAGGTTCCCTAAAGCGCATACATACAAAACACAGCGGAACTCACACAGCGTAGAGAGTTACAACAGGGTGGAGATATTCAAAAAAAAAAGAATAAAGTGCTCAGTTCTGAGTACATTATTCCTACCACTAGGGATGTGCATTTCGACTAATGGAGACTCGCAGTTCTCGACATGCATTTCTTCCTCTTTAGTGGATATGCGCCAACATGTTAATTTGCCATATATTTTGACTGTTTCTGGATCTAATGTTAACATCAGCCTAGGCTCTTTACCATCAAAAATTGCTCTGCTTCTGCCTTCTCAGTCATGTCCTTAACAATAGGTCCTTGGCAACACACCCACTTTAGGGCACTTGTGTTTTGGAGTAGCAAAGTATAACATACTTACTCTCAAATACGAGCAAAACTTTCAGGTTTTACAATTCTGTTAAAAGAAATTCCCCATTTCCATGAACTGTTAGCCTGTTTATTTTCTCTTCACATGAAGAAACAACAAATAATCTGATAGCCGAGTAATGATTTTGTTATATAAATACAGTCATGTCAAACAGTTACCAAGTATTTGAGTACGAAGACACACCACTAACCACTGCATATGCCTACTTTCTTGTTGTGTAGCCATACTCAATTACAGCAAGGTACAGGATGTTTAACTGTATTTCCTATAAAGGTGTACTTTGTAGTTCTACTATTACAGACTGTAGTCCATCAGTTTCTCTGCATACTTTGTTAGCCCCCTTTTACCCTGTTCTTCAGTGGTCAGGACCCCCATGGACCCTTACAGGGCAGGTACTATGAGTGTTAGATCATCCTCAGCACTGCAGTAACACTGACGTGGTGGTGGTGTGTTAGTGTGTGTTGTGCTTGTCTGAGTGGATCAGACACAGCAGTGCTGCTGGAGTTTTTAAACACTTCAGTGTCACTGCTGGACTGAAAATAGTCCAACAATCAAAAATATCCAGTCAAAAGTGTCCTGTGGGCAGCGTCCTGTGACCACTGATGAAGGACTAGAGGATGATTAGCTCATACAGTACAGCAAGAGATGAGCTATCGCCTCTGGCTTACATCTACAGGGTGGACTAACAACGCAGGTGTGTCTAATAGAGTGGACAGTGAGTGGACACAGTGTTTAAAAACTCCAGCAGCACTGCTGTGGCTGATCCACTCGTACCAGCACAACACACACACTTTTTGGAACAAAAATGTAAGCTATCTATTAGCTGTAAACTTGAATTCTTTCAAACCATGAGGCAGACTTTTAGACCTCTATCAGCAAAAGCAAAAAACAGCCCTTTTCCAAACCTTCTTTATTATGCAACGTCCTTAAAGATGACTTTCACTGAAACAGGAATCTATGTTTCCCCCCAACAGCTGCAGCGTTGTTCATGTTCTACTGAAAGAATTTCAACAGCATCACAGCTCTCTGTTATTCCACTGTTTCACCCAAGGTGAAGGCCATGTGCAAGTTCCATTGCCTAGATTTGCATTACAGAGGATCCCTAAGGCCCTCCCTTGAGTGCAGCAGGGTGCGATGTGAGGACTGCTGGCTTGAAATTCAATACACATTTCAAGGGAAGCCATGGTTCAAGATTTCAAGAGGAAAAGCCAAGAAGCTGAAGTTGGAGGAGTTGCTTTTATTTGTGAAAAAACAATTAAGGCGCGATTTCAGCCTTTGCCGCTCTTCAGATGGAGCAGTTAGCAGCTTCGCGCAAGCACTTCACAAGCTCGATGCAGTAAGGATGTTTTGACAGGTGACTTCACTGCTCACACAGGGATTCTAATGACAAGCTCTGGAGTCACTTGGGACAACAGAAGCACCTGCTCGCTTGCAACTGTTATTATGGGTAGATGAAACACGCAAATATTTACCAAGAAACCAGTGAGCAGACACTTTAACTACACTGTGACATCGCTGAAGCCTTTCTGGTCCATCAAATTATACCCACTCGGCAGAAGCACAGCATTTACATATGAAATAAAACTCTTTAATCCACATGGTTGACATTTTCTAATATGCTGACACACCTGATCTGCTATCAGATCACCTTATATTTTATGCTGGAACAGCTGAGAAAGAGTACAGCAGGGAATTTTGGATTGGGATGCTGACGTCATGTCAGTGGTGTGCTGTCAGAAATATAGGGGAGGACTATAGTGGAGCACAGGGAACAACCTAATGCAGGGCACAATTTAACATGGATTTGTTAAAGAAGGTCAAGCAGCGTGTGCTTCTGGCCACATTAGCACATTTCCTAGCCGCGGTCTCCCACCAAAATTCAGAGCGATTCGTCAGCGTTTTAAAGAGATCTGTGCCAAATAGGTGTTTTTTTTCAACACAAGTTGCTGAGCTGTTTGTGTAAATCACAAAATCCAACCTTATATTACTTTAATTACCATCTTGTTGCCTATAACGTAGCACCGCTTTGAAGCAAGTGAAAAGCTCACAGCAAAGGCTAGTTAGGCTTACAGCCTCTGTACTGCGGGGGATAATTGTAACACAGTGTTACAACTTAAGTAGATAAAGACAAAAAAGTACATTTTGTGTACACAAATTTTAAAATGAAAAAGAGAAACATCTGAAAACAGGGTTTTTCATCTACTTTATTAGTATTGTTCAGATGTTAGTATTTTGGTTTTAAATAAGTATTTTAACAAAATTGACATTAACAGCTGGTAAAGCTGTATTTATTCAGAAACAACATGCAATATGTGCGATGTTTTTATTTGCTGCCCTACACTGGACAAAAAGTACATTTTTGTCATTGACACACAGCCTTATGCCAGTATATAATTTAATGTGTGTGTATCTATCAGTATTATATATTATATATATATATATATATATATATATATATATATATATATATATATATATTTATTTATTTATTTTTAATTACAACATATAATTATATTGAATTAACTTCGTTTGTACTAATTCATCTGACTCTTCTAGCATTTGTTATACTGACCCTCTGTCTCTTAAAATTAACCCCACCCATATGGTAAACTGTAACATTGTGCTTCCCATCATTTTCAGTGTAATTGTACATTATTCAAACTTAAATATTTTTATTCAACAAAAAGCAAGATGTGTTAGGTTGTGCCCCACTCTCCCCTACAATATACTTGGTATATAACTGGTCTCTCAGAGCGAGAATCTGATTATGAGAGTCTGATTATGTATTTTTGTTGTATACTTTTTGCATATATGTTATCTTCAGATTTTAAGCTTTTAGCATTAACTGATTTAATAAAGATCTTTAATGAAAATCAAAAAACTTAAGTGACAACACATTTCGGTAATAAATTATTTCACATCTCATTTTGGTTTCTTCTCTTCATATAATGCACCCAAACAACTTTCCCCATGCACAAAAACTCCAGACTGCTGAACATGTTCAAATGAGTTCCATAGCCACATGCCCTATGTGCGAGTGTATTTACATATTTTTTTGTCATTATAGCACAGTCACTTTGGAATTCAGTGTGAAATTATGTAGTGTTACATTTTCATAATTTTACAACTCATCTAAACCATTTTAACTGCATGGAAAACCCTTACCTAAAAATAATGTGTCTAAGTTTAACAAACTGTAGTTAAAACTTCACCGTATTGAAAGCTAGATCTAAAATCTGAGCTTGGTGACCACCGGTCTAGAAAAATAAAACATAACTTGCACAGAAAAATTACGGAACTTAGTGTGACGTGATCCTTTCTGGTGCATTAGGGTCGTTCTTATGAAATTGCCTCAAGCTCTGTCTATAAATATGAGTGTCATAATGATTATACAGATACTCATGATTTATTAGATCATCCAGTTCTCTATTAGGCACAGCAATCATTTTAATGATTTATTTTTCAAATTTTAAAGGCTTTTTTTTTTTTTAACCCCAATTCTCATTACCACCTATGAGCACCTAGTGTCCACCTTTTCGTTTCTCATTACCAATATTTATCACTTTGTTGCTTTTTTTTTTTAAAGGCAAAAATAGGTTTGCATTACTTTTAAATGTTAAATCTCTTTGTTTTCTTGTAAGCTCTAAGGAGGTAAACCAAAACAACAAAATGTTGTGGTAATTAACCCTCCCTTGTGTTGGAAAAACAGCTGTGATTATGTTGCGCTAATTAAACAAAATGACAAAAAAAATGCATGTTTTAATAATTAAAGTCAAACAACAGTATAGAGATTGTGAAATGAAACAATGGGGGGACTGTTTGCAGACTTATCTTAATCTACTTGAAATCAATTTCAAATAAATCAAATCATTATTCAGGTTTCAGATTTTTTTTCAAATAGTCTTCTGTTCAGCTCTGCAATGGAATGGTGACCTGTCCAGATGACTGATGGGATAGGCTCCAGCCGCCCCCCCGCAACCCAGAAGGATAAGCGGCTTAGAAAATGTGTGTGTGTGTTCTGTTCATGAGAATATACCATTAATAGTATAAAGTAAAGTATATTTTATGTTTGTATAGTACTACTATGACTACTACTATGTATGTACTACCTTACAGAGCACTGGTATCGGGTTAGTACTCAGTATCAGCATTCAGGTATCAGCAGTGGGAAAGAAAAAGCTGGATGGGCGCATCCCTAAAAATGATGCTGGGCAATCTTTTATCATGTCACATCATCCATGTGTTTAATATATACTGCAAGACATATCCCAATTACAACATGTGGAAATGTAA